CAAGCGATCCTCCTGCCTCAGCCTCCCTGGTAGCTGGGACTACAGTCATGCACCACCATGCCTGGCTAATGTTTTCTGTTTTTAGTTGTTTGGCTAATTTCTTTCTATTTTTAGTAGAGACGGGGTCTTGCTCTTACTCAGGCTGGTCTCGAACTCCTAAGCTTAAGCAGTCCCGCCTCAGCCTCCCAGAGTGCTTGGATTACAGGTGTGAGCCACTGCGCCCACCAGATGGGTAGTTTGAAAATATTTTCCCCCATTCCGTAGATTGTTTCTTCACTCTATTGATTGTTTTCTTTGCTGTGCGGAAGCTTTTTAGCTCAGTGTAATCCCATTAGTCTATTTTTGCTTTTGTCACCTATGCTTTTGAAGTCTTATCCAAAAAATCTTTGCCCAGACCAATGTCCTGAAGCATTTCCCCGTTGTTTTCTTCGAGTAATTTCTTAGTTTGAGGTCGTACATTTGTCTTTATTCCATTTTGATTTGATTTTTGTATGTGGTGAGAGTTAGGGATCTAGTTCCATTCTTCTGTGTATGGATATCTAGTTTTCCCGGCACCATTTATTGAAGAGATTGTCCGTTCCCCAGTGTGTGTTCTTGACGCCTTTGTAAAAAATGAGTTGGCTGTAAATGCTTGGATTTATTTCTGGGTTCTCTATTCTGTTCTGTCTGTTTTTATGCTAGTACCATGCTGTTTTGGTTATTATAGCTTTGTAGTATTTTTTAAAGTCTGGTATTGTGATGCCTTCAGCTTTGTACTTTTTGCTCAGGATTGCTATTTGGGGTCTTTTGTGATTCCATACAAATTTTAGGATTGTTTTTTCTATTTCTGTGAAGAATGTCATTGACGTTTTGATAGGGATTGCATTAAATCTGTAGATCACTAGGTAGTATAGATACTTTAACAATAGTCTTCCAATCCATGAGCATGGGATATCTTTCCATTTTGTGTGTGTGTGTTCTGTTGAATTTCTTTCATCAGTATTTTGTAGTTTTCATTGTAGAGGACTTTCGCTTCTTTGGTTAAATTTATTCCTAGGTATTTAACTTTTTGGTACCTATTATATTAATAAATAGGATTGCTTTCTTGATTTCTTTTTATAATTGTTCACTGTTGGTGTGTAGAAATGATTTTTATATGTTGATTTTGTATCCTGCAACTTTACTGAATTTATCAGTTCTGTTTTTGGTGGAATCTTTAGGTTTTTCTACATATAGGAGCATGTTGTCTGTGAACAAGGCTAATTTGACTTCTTCCTTTCTAATTTGGATGCCGTTTATTTCTTTCTCTTTCTTGCCTAATTGCTCTGGCTAGGACTTCC